CAAAATAAATTCATATTCATTTAAATTCATGATATTAAAAAAAAAGTTGAATAAAAAAAGTTGTATATACCGTATTTTTCGCACCATAAGACGCACTTTTTTCCCCCCCAAAAAGGGGGAAAATGTCAGTGCGTCTTATAATATAAAGCGGCCGGTCCGGTATTTTTGCACCACCATGTCAGAATACCGGGCCGGCCGCTCAGCTGTTGTCTCCTGCAGGGCCTTACCTGTTTCCTCGCTCCAGCGCTGACATCTTCCCGTGCTGGCTTCTGTGACAGCCGGGTGCCCACTGCGCATGTGCTGCGCTTTTGAATGATCCGGTGTCTTCTGGGACACATTCCCAGAAGGCGCCGGGCCATTCACAAAGCGAAGTGCTTCTCGCACCTGCGCAGTGGGCACCAGCTGTCACAGAAGCCGGCCCGGGAAGAAGAGGAAAGGCAACTCCGCGGAAGTGGGAGCGGGTACCTGTCAAATTCAGGTAACCGCTCCCCCTCCCTTCCCAAAAGCAGTCTCTTCATCCCCTTGTCTGCAGTCTCTTACTGTCTGCAGTCTCTGGTCATTCCCTGCACTGTCCGCAGTTGGTCATTCAATGCACTGTGTCCGCAGTCTCTGGTCATTCCCTGCACTGTCTGCAGTCTCTGGTCATTCCCTGCACTGTGTCCAGCAGTCTCTGGTCATTCCCTGCACTGTCCGCAGTCTCTGGTCATTCCCTGCACTTCCGCAGTCTCTGGTCATTCCCTGTACTGTGTCCACAGTCTCTGGTCATCTCCTGCATATCCCCTGTACTGTGTCCGCAGTCATTATTTCATTGCACTGTGTCCGCATCTTGGTATTCCCTGTACTGTGTCCGCAGTCTCTGGTCATCTGCACTATGTCCGCAGTCTCTGGTCATCTTTAAAACTGTTGTCCGCAGTCTCTGGTCATCTCCTGCACTGTTTCTGCAGTCTCTGGTCATCTCCTGTACTGTGTCCGCAGTCTCTGGTCATCTCCTGTACTGTGTCCGCAGTCTCTGGTCATCTCCTGTACTGTTTCTGCAGTCTCTGGTCATCTCCTGTACTGTGTCCGCAGTCTCTGGTCATCTCCTGTACTGTGTCTGCAGTCTCTGGTCATCTCCTGCACTATTTCTGCAGTCTCTGGTCATCTACTGTACTGTGTCAGTCTCTGGTCATCTCCTGTACTGTGTCCGCAGTCTCTGGTCATCTCCTGTACTGTGTCCGCAGTCTCTGGTCATCCCCTGTACTGTGTCTGCAGTCCATTGGTTCAGAATATTTTTTTTTCTTGCCATGGTCAGGTGCGTCTTATGGAGCGAAAAATACGGTATATATATTATTTTTTTAAAAACCTGTTTGTTTCGGTTTTCGGCCAAATGCATCCTGAATTTTCGGTCTAAGAAATTTAATTTCAGTGCACCGCTACCTTGTCACACTGTCTAAATAATGCATTTTTTATATGTATGGATATGGGCATTATATGGTACGTTATTTTCTCTGCTTTGCTGGAGAACTTTATTGCTTATGGTCACTACTCTCCGTATTTAATCAGAGATGTGATCACAGCCATAGTGGAGGAGGGACCCCCACCACTACATTCTTTAAAAGACCCATCTCTGGGTGCAGCGACTACCTAGAACCCATTGCAGTTGTTACCCCCATTTCCGTGGATACCAGGAGGCTAGCAATCCATAGGAGTAGGCGATTGTTGGGGACCCCTATTCAATGTACACAGAATTAACTACACTTTGTCTTAGCCAAAAGGCCAAGAAGCGATATACAGACAGAATTATCTGGATTGCACGGACTTCGATAGCAAGGCTGAGAAGATTATTCAGCTGCTTTGACTGTGGTGACAAAATTGGAACAGTTTGGGGAATGGTGGCATCCCTATATAGTCCTTTGATGGAGAGTCTACTGCTTTTTACTGCTTGACAACATCAAGACACTTGAGGAATTTAGCATCCTTGTAGTCTCAAGTGATCTCTATTTGAACATAAGAGGACCCAACTCCCCATTTTAAAAATTGGTTTTAGAAAAAATAAAGTAAACCAACCAAATTGATTGCCCCCCAACACTCCTGAAGAATCAGGCGACAGCAAGAAAAGTTGCATATAGTGTTTATGTATATCATTTTATGCAGGAGAAATTTTAGCCAATACATATGTGCTTGATACCTTACATAGTACCTTTAAACATTTGACCCCCGGAAGGTTTTACCCCCTTCATGACCAGAGCATTTTTTGCTATTTAGCACTGTCACTGACTGCCAATTGTGCGGTCATGCAACACTGTGGGAGAAAAAAAAAAAGGATATAAACTTCATTTGCGTACAAAAGAGCTTTCTTTTGGTGGTATCTTATCGCTGGGTTTTGGTTATATGAAAAAAAATATATACATCTTGGAAAAAAGTTTGGGAAACAAAACCCACAATATTTTCTGATTCAATAAACAAAACAAAATTTCTTCATACATGTAAGCCAAATATATTCGGCTACATTTCTTTGGTAAAAAAAAGATCCCAGTAAGTGTATATTAATTGGTTTTTGAAAGTTATAGCACCTACAAACTATGGTATGTACAGTGGATATAAAAATGCTACACACCCCTATTGGGTGTCAGGTTTCCGTGATAAAAAAAAAAAAAAAAAAAAGATAAAATCATTTCAGAACTTTTTCCACATTTAATGTAACCTATAAACTGTAAAACTCAGTTGAACAACAAACTAAAATCTTTTAGGTGGAGGGAAGTAAAAATAAAAAAACTAAAATAATATGGTTGCATAAGTGTGCACACCCTTAAATACTTTGAGTGCTATAATAAAATCATGCTTCAGTCTTTTTGGGTATGAGTCTATCAGTACGGCACATCTTGACTTGGCAGTATTTGCCCACTCTTCCTTGCAAACACACTTCAAGTCTGTCAGATTGAGAGGGCATCTCTTGTGCACAACCCTCTTCAGATCACCCCACAGATTTTTGATCGAATTCAGGTAAAAAAAAAACCTTTAATCTTCTTCTGGTGCAGCCATTCCTTTGTTGATTTTGTATGCTTTGGGTCGTTGTCATGCTGAAAGATGAAGTTCCTTTACTTGTTCAGCTTTCTATCAGAAGCCTGAAGGTTTTGTACCAATATTGAGTGGTATTTGGAACTGTTCATAATTCCCTCTACCTTAAATAAGGCCCCAGTTCCAGCTGAAGAAAAACAGCCCCAAAGCATGATGCTGCCACCACCATGCTTCACTGTGGGTATGGTATTCTTTTGGTGATGTGCAGTGTTCTTGCACCAAACATATCTTTTGGAATTATAGCAAAAAGTTAAATCTTGGTTTCATCAGACCACGACACTTTTTCCCCACATGCTTTTGGGAGACTTCAGATGTATTTTTGCAAAATTTAGCCAAGCTTGGATGTTTTTATTCATAAGAAAGGCTTCTGTCTTGCCATTCCACCCCATAACCCAGACATATGAAGAATACGGGAGATTGTCACATGTAGCACACAGCCAGTACTTGCCAGATATTCCTGCAGCTCCTTCAATGTTGCTGTAGGCCTCTTGGTAGGCTCCCAGACCAGTTTTCTTCTTGCCTTTTCATCAATTTTGGAGGGATGTCCAGTTCTTGGTAATGTTACTCTTGCACCATATTTTCTCCACTTGGTGATGACTGTGTTCACTGTGTTCCATGGTATAGCTAATGCCTTAAAAGATATCAGTCAGGAGAAGGGTACAAAAGAATTTCTAACAATGAGATCCCTCTGATGCTTTGGAAGCTCTTTGTAGACCATGGCTTTTGCTGTAGGAGACTAAGAAAATGTCAGGAAAGACCCACTATTTGGGGTTAATCAGAGGCACTTTAAATAGCGGTAGGTGTGTACTTACTCCTATTCAACATGATTTTGCATGTGATTGCTTAATTCTGAACCCGTTATAAGAGGTTTTGCACACTTATGCAACCACATTAATTTAGTTTTTTATGTTTACTCCCCCCCATAGGATTTCAGTTTGTTTTTCCACCTTAATTGTGACCTATGAACTGTACAACTCCATTGAAAAAGTTCTGAAATGGATATTTATCGGTCTCTTTTTTTACATCACAGAAACCTGATATTTTAACAGTGCCAATACTGTACACAGTCATTGTACTAATGACACTGGCTGGGAATGAGTTAACATCTAGGGGCAATCAAGGGGTTAATTGTGTGCCTAGAAATATGTAATATGTGCTTTACTTTACTACATGGCCATTTTTATTCTCTGCTTTGCAGGAAGAAAAACAGCCAGATTTCTGTCCCTGTACAGTTGTGTAAACACAAAACTCTGTGTTTGATTGGACACTGCCTGAAATCGGCTGTCAAATACAAACTGTGTCCAGTCACAACATGGGTCAGCAGGGGCAGGTTATGCATGCCCACAGACCCAGCAGAGGGTAGTCACGTAATGTACAATACGGTCTTGCCCATGCCACCCCGCCGCAGTAAATGTACAGTGGTGGGGCTGCAAATGGGTGAAGTTTCAATAAGTTTGGTGTCCATCAAGAGATTCACTATGGTTTTGCAATGTAGACATACACAAGCAATTTGCATAATAAGCAAGTTTTATTTTTACAACAATTCAAAACGGTTGCATAGTGACATAAAATATGTACTTTAAGTGGAAGCAGGGAAAAGCAGCATTGCTTGCATATCTACAGGAATTCTAAAAGGCCTTTGCTTATAATACTTTAATTCCTCAAAATACTAATTTATATATTACATATGCAATTATATTTTACAACCTCTTAAACAAGTGGAAACATGGTGTCCTTTTAAAGCCTTAAATATCTTAGAATCCAGACCTAAAAATAAATATAGCACACAAATGTAGTCTATTGGCAGGTATTCTACCCTTTGGCTTCAAGAAGTTTCACACTAAGAAAAAACAAGTCATGTCCTGTAGACTTGGACACACCTTTCCCCCACATCAATGGTTACTTGTGTGCCTGAACAGCAGAAAAACTTCAGAGAATTCCAG